GCAGAGCCAATAGCTACTTTCCTTACTGAGGAGTTGGCAACACTGACTGCATGCTTCAAATTCACTCAAGCTCCTGTAAGTTTGCTATTTTCTAGTGATGGCGAGATGAAGCTTCATAAAGCTTTGAAGCATTCCATCCAATTGGTTCACTCGTGTGTTGAAGCTTCATGGTGCTTCATTTGCTCTGTTCTGCCCCCTGGTGGACAATAAATGTTAACGTACAGCGTGGTTATAACGAGACTCTGGCTTTGGTGTCTGAAGCATTGAGTGAATTAATCAATGATGTTTGTGATGCTGCCATCCAGGTTGACCCCGCCCCTCCCCATTGGCTCCAGTCCTCCCCCCCACGCCATTAGGGGATCGGCGGTTAGCATAATGGACGGATGGATGTCTGTGATGCTTATACATGAATTATAAACTTTTAGATGATGTCTGTCTTTATGATACAATGACAGGGAAGCTTGAATAGATTGCTCAAAAACTCGTAATTAAGTCCCAAGTCCACAAAATGTGAGGGGGGGATTCATTGCGTTTTGCTGGCCCTTATTTTTCGAATAGACCGCCAAACCGCGAACCACTTCCTGAATCAGTCACGTGGTACGGCCGGTTCGCGAGGCTTCAAACGTCACCGCATACGTCATCGACACAAGCTTCGATACGTGCTTCACTGAAATCATCCTGGATTTCTCGACACGCGCTTCCAAGCCTCGATACGAAGGGACACATCACTACTATTTTCTCTTAAACTTCTCTTAAAGTTTTGTATAAAAAATATTAGATTAGATTATGACATAAATGTTTACTTTTTAAGAAAAGGTCTAAAGTAGTAGAGGGGAAACAAGAGGGCTAATGTGGACAACTCATGCATATCATGTGAAAGAGTAGGTTTTTGTCACCACCGTCAGGTTTTCTGTCTGACGGTGGTGACAAAAACCTACAAATGGTCCTCAACGGAGGCTAGAATATAATTGTTGATCTGTAATGTTTCATTAACTTCTTTTATATTTTTATTTATGTAATTCCCCCTAGATTTCTTCAATATCGTACAACCATAGGGGTCTGTCTCTCAATTCACTATTATGCCATGTTCATTTGGTAAAAGTAATTTGGGATTCACATACCTACATAGCACATAATATACAATATTCCTTGTAAGCTATGCATCTCCTATGACTAAAGCCAAATAAAAATGGCATGGCAACATTTAACCAAATATAACATTTAGTGTAATTCTCCCCAATTTAATAGTCATTACACTCAACTTTGACTTCATGTATTTTAGGAAGTTATGGCAAGGAAGCAGCTATCTGTGGAGGACTGAAGGAAAAGAAACCAGGAATATAAAAAGAAGCGTAGAGAGAAAAAATGTAGGGATGAGGAGTTAAAGGAGGAATACCTCCGAACGGAAAGGCAAAGATGGAATAAGAGGGTGAAGAAAGGGAAGATAAAAAATTAATAGTGAATCTTTTATTTTTCATGTATGCATGAAAGACTTAGAATAAATACAACTAATCAACACAAAAATATATGCTAAACTTTAAATCTAAGTCTGATTAGACAGTGTTTTGCAACTTTTTTGCTAATCAGAATTACAGGAGTAGTAAAGTGTCATGGCTTTAAACATTGCACGTGCATTTAAAGTGGGTGAATTTCTAATTTTATAAAAATCTTCATGCACCCTGTTGTCCAGAATGTTGTTGTTGCTCTCTCGTGATCATATTAACCATGAAGCAAGAGCAGAGGTACATCTGTTGAGGCAGCTTTCAAAAACTAGAATGCAGTTTCAAAACCTTGTGGAATCGTTGGTTTTTCAGCTTTCTTTCCTCTTCGTCTCCTGGATGAACATAAAAAGAATGTTTAGCAGTAGTGGACAAACTTTGCAGTTGCGACAATTAATGAAACAATTAGCTGTAACGGCTACATGTATTTATGTTAAATGTAAATAAATAGTTAGACATCAGCTTTAGAAAATCCTCAGGATAAGTTTAGTTCAACATAAACAATTGGTTCTACTCTGGGCTGAAAATAAAATCAATACTGAAGATAATGGAGAACACAATGAAGATATTTCTAAACTCACCTGATGATGCTCTGCATTTCTGACAAGGACTCTGGCAAGGGTTTCCTGTATGTTTCAGGCAGTATCAAACTTATCATGGCACCGCAGAGAGATAAGACGCCGATCACGATATAGGGGAGTGATTTGTAGTATTTTCCTGCCAGCAGCAAATACAAACATGTGACGGGCGTGGCAGAGAACAAGTAACTACTGAGACCACGAGGTGCGTTCATGACAGCTAACGGCACACAACTGCTGTCTAATGCTAGAAAAGATTTTCTTTAAATGAGCCAGTTGCTGAAATGAGCTCAAATTCTAATTGAGAATTGCTGAAAATAGAAAAATGGAGTACCCTTACCCAAATAAATAATAAAAGGGGAAGTGATAGTGGCGATGCGCGCGGCCATGGAGCAGCAGCCCATTGCTGTGTTCCTGATGACGGTGGGGAAGAGCTCGGATGTGACAGAATACACGATGCAGAACGCCGCCGTGGTTCCAAACTTGCCGCACATCTCAAGAAACACAGCAAGAGCTGGCAAACCTAGGCAAATAAAACATTTATTGCACACTTAAGGCTAGAAACAACAATTGTAAAGTGAGGGCCATTTCTCAGAGCCTTTAGGTGAAGGACCAGTTAAGGCTTTAGGTGTAGCGTAAGGCAAACCTCTGGCTCCAGCAATAGTAGAAATAAAATAATGATATTATGTCTCAAACACTTGTTAAAACTTATTGGTTAAAGGTCCCTGTGTCCTTTCATTGACATCGTTGTGATTCACAAAGGTTTTTCCTTTGCTACCACTATACTAATAAGGTAGACTATATGATTTCTGTAAACAATTTTCTACCCCCCGGGACTCGCTACTTTTATCCACCTGAGAGTAAAAATGTCTTCATTTTGAATCAAAATCAGATATTAATGAGAAGATTAAACAAGATTTAAGTTGGATTAAAGTTTTTTAATCCCTTTTTCATACCGGTTTTTCAAGTTAAAGTCTGGAAATAAGACCTTAGCTCATTTGTCTCATTGACCAACAACATTTCTCTAAGTGTTTTGAGTATTACCTATTGGAATGAGACGAACACAGAGGATCATCACGCCTCCCAGGAAGAGAGTGGAAGACTGACAGAAGTGCCTGGAGCAAAACTTGAGCAACAACAAGGCAATTAAGTATGCTGGGACCTCCGTCACAGCCGACAAAAAGCAGTTCAGGAAGGGGTCACCGTGCAGGTTGGAAGTGTTGAGGATCAGAGCATAGTAACTAATTGTGATGATCATCCTGCCAAGAAATTCACAAAAAAGCCAAATTGGAAACTCACAATGACACATAGAAAGCATAAAAGCTATGGATGGAACACATAACCGTGACCTTTTAGGCCACTGATTTGCCACTCGGGGAGCCGAAGACATACCACAGACTGGCACAGAGCAATATGATAATCGTGATATTGCAGCTTCTCAGGATAGATATAATGTTGACTTTCTCATCCTTCCTAGCCTGAGCTTGTTCAATCTGTAGAGAATGAGTTTTATAAGGTATTTTAAAGGCTCCTGGAGCAAATGTTTAGATTATGGTGATCATGTGGTTGTTGAAAAGAACTACCTCAGCTTGCGTAAAAATGGCCTCTGGAGTTGGTACTTTATTCATCTTTGCAGCCTGTCTTAGAATGACCTCAGCTTCTTCAATTCTTCCTTGAGAAAGCAGCCAGCGGGGGGACTCCGGGATGAACCTGGAAGAAGAAAAGTCGTCGGATAAATGAGAGATTGATGATGCCAGTCAGTGTTTAACACTTTTCTCAGACCAATGCCTTAACCCCCCAATTTCTGATGCAGTCTTGCGGATACTTTTCCAACATAAGCCATTATAAGACTGCAGCATAACACAAGACACTTTTCCATTGGGAGCAAAGATAGCCAAGTTTGCATTGGATGTTTAAATAAAAAAAGTGACAATATAAAACTTCATAAACTTATTTTAACACAATTCTGCACTAGTTTCAGTGTTGATGAACATTATGAATACATAACAGAAAATCCTTACCACCACAGAGGGATGTAGATGAGTCCAGAGCCCGCCATCACAACTAGCAGCAGCCGCCAATCACGGAGGAAGTAGGCTGCTAGAGGCATTGCCATGTACCCCAGTGCAGAGCACATAAAGACACCCAGTGAGCAAAAAACCACTCGGGTTTTTGGGCTGAGAACTTCTGATCCTGTAGGAGCCAATGATTAAAAATGGACCTTTACTTTTTGCTTGGTTTACCGAAACAAAATACCTGTGTATGAGAGATCACATGCTTTAGTTTTATTATCAGTCCTTTGCTCCTCACATGCAGTTGAAAATCTTAACACTGAAGCCTTTTGTATTTTGTAGAAGAAAACTGAAGGTGCACAAGCTTCAATCTAGGTGCAATTTTCCACGATATGCCATATGATTACAAAAATATTTTAATGAGAGGTTTTCACTTTCAGTTTTTAATTAACTGTAAAAACTTGCTTCAGTCTAGATCATCATCTCCAACCAGATTGTTTAGATGTAAATACACAGAGCAGCATTGCTGCATTTATGATTTTAGGAAAAGCATATAAACAACATACCCAACACGAATCCAATGGTATAATTGGAGTACACCCCTGCACCCGCAAAGAAGAAAATCAGGCAGAAAATCTCCCAGCTTGGTGAGAAGATCTGTGCTGTGATTCCCACTGTCTGAAGAGCCATCATGGCAAAGAGTAAAGGCCTCCTCCCAAACCTGTGGAAGAAACCTGTTATTCAACCACAGAGGAAAAATTGCGTTGTGTCCTAAAGCTTTCAAAACGTGCCATTAGCACTACTGACCTGTCAGACATCTGGCCAGATATCATAGTTCCAAATAACACGCCAACGTAATGAATGGAGGTGGACAGTGGCACTTTGTATGCATTATCGCATACTAAATCCCACTGTGAAATGACAACAATTTCAGCCATTTAGTCACATGTCTATCATAGTAGGGAAAGCAATAATGGTACCACAGTTGCAGTAATATTAACCGCAATAATGCCATAGACTGTAATATCATAGCATGCGGAATATACTTTCCATGTACAATTAATGCAGACCATATAATTTTTACATAAACATGGTGTTCAAATTTGAACTTTCAATTATAGCCTTTATTCAGGGAGGTCATTGGTTAAATACAATCTGGAAAAGATTAGACCTATTTGCCAGGTGTTGTGTTTACATGTTGAAATGTCAGAAAGTAATACAGTGGAGAAAATGTGATGCTGACATTGTTACAAGAAATTATTTGAAACATTTTTTTTTTTATTATACTTACTTTTGATAAGACACATTATCTAAATGTAAATGTGTCATACTATTATATCCAACCGGGAGGATGATTTAAAGGACGTATTAGGAAGGGTTGGCACTTGGCTTTCATTATGCAATGACTAACAACCACACCACATTAGTGTGCAGCTGGGTGGAAAAGGGACAGCACAATGAAAAGAAAAAGAAAAAAAAACAGATTAAGAAAGTCTTTTCAGATTGACAAATCAAGCACTATGCTGGCATCTGATCCCTTTTTCTTAGAGCATTACCAGGGAAATCTGCTTTGTACTCACACACTGGCCTCGAACAAAAATGTGTACGACAGCTTTAAGGAAAATGCTTGTCAGGTGTGTTCCTGTCACAAGATTCAAAGTGAAAAACGAGACTTTGAACCACGGTCAGCAGATTGCGGTATGAGACAGAAAAAAGTTTATCCAAATATGCAAAGTTCATAAGAGTCTACAGTATATGAGCCAAAAGCATAGCTCAAGAGTGTGGGGAGAGGGAACTCATTGGGATTTATTTAGACTACTGCATATTATAAATCACACAGAGGCAGAGAAATGGGAAATGTTCACTCTATTTTAGTGTAAATTAATTTGACATAGCCATCATCCAGTCCAATGTTGGACAGCCTATTGTTTTTAGGACAGAAACAGTGGGCATCCTTAAAGATGCCCACTGTAGATAGATAGATCTATCTATCTATCTATACGGGAACGGTGAATGGGAAAAAGCAAACCAGTTATTTCTATAGAGGTGCCAGATTCCAAAAATAATTACAGAGGAATATTGAATCCATTATTTTCTTATTGATAAATGACAGTGTATCACATTTATACTCATTTCTGGTCTCAAAGGACAAAATAACTTTTTTGTCCTTTGAAAAATGTAGTTAATGTCTTTTAACCAACTTTGAAAAATTGCATCTTGCATCTTTTCGAAGTTCAACACAGAATGCTGCGAATGTTATTGATTCATAGTCTCCGACAGCAAGACCAACAAACCAACAATATATAAAATAGAAAAGAAAAACCATCAGGAGATACCTCTGTAACTATAGTTGACTGGTAGATTTCTTTGCTGTAAGACCACCCATCCCGGCACTCCTCCAAAGGAATTTCACTCACGTTCACGTCCACACTTGGAATTAAGTTCAATTGAGAGTAATTCCTGACAGTCTCCAGATGAAGCCTCTGGCAAGAGCTGCGTCTCGTCGTGCCATCGACGGTTTCCATTGGTATCGTAACATTTCTCCACATCTCACTGATGCTGTAATTTTCTGGAATATGGCATTCGTGAGGTGGGGTATCACCAACGAAAACTATGTAAACACCGGTTAATCCATTCGGAAAGATGCTGACCGCCAATGATAAAAAAACCATGCGTTGAAAAGGTCCCCAAGATCCAAGGAAAGACGTGATCGAGTCATAGTCCCTGACTTTCATGCTGTCCATGACCACAATAGGATTTAGATAGTTAAATCAGAAGTCCAGCCAGTCCTTTGTAAGTACTGAAACACACGGAGGAGTGTGTCCTATGCTGTGATATGCCAATAGGGTAACCAGATAAAGTTTGAGCTCACGTTGTACTGCCTCCTCATGCTAAATGTGGGAGGTTACACAGTCCCACACAGTGCCCTAAAATGTGTTGGGCTCTCTTTTTTCTTGGCATGATTATACTGTTATCAAGAAGGCCTTCAAAGGCCATTTAGACTTGGAAATAATCTTTTAAACACAGGTAGTGGACCTAACATAATTCTGTAACAGGTGGTGTAAGGATAAATCATTTAAAGAACCCTTGAGGAGTTGGTTAATCGTTACCAAGAAGAGGAAAAACGGTTATATAGCTGTTCACCGTATCATTCACCAAGACGTAAGTCATTTATTGAAAGCAGATGGTTTAAAGGTAAAGAGAGGACAACTCTGCTAAAGAGTGCAGACATGGCTGTCCATAAACTAATGAATGAGTACCAAAGTCCTGAGGGACAGCAAAAAAGGAAGAGTTTAATCAAATACCATCAGAAAAAGATGTCAAAGTCTTAGAAAGAGCAGCATTTGATTTGAATGTTAATCAGAATATTTTATTACAATTTTTCCAGTGTAACAATCTTGCCAGGGTTCGTTCCATCCATCCATCCGTTTTCTATAACGATGATTCCTGGGTCGCGGGGGGCTGGAGCCTATCCCATCTGACAACATGCTAGAAGTGGTCACCCAGAGACAAACAACCACCCACACTCACTCACTCCTGAGGGTATTGTGGAGTGCCCGCCAGGGTTCCATAATATTTACTGAATTATAACGATAAGGTCTTTGAACTTTGAACCTGGTGTTAGCATATTACACCGTTATTTACGTTGTTCATTATGAAGGAATGTTAATTCACATTCCAGAGTTTGAATTCCAGATATCTTTTTAAGACTTGAATTAACTTAATGTATCAGTGTCCTCGTGCAGATTGTCTTCATGCTGGTCACCATAAACCTGGAGCAATTTTGGTGTTAAACATATCAGTGATCACCATTACCTTTACAAAGCTGCATGACATACACTTTATCTGTAGATAATAAATCTCATAGTTGCAATTAAAATTATTGGTCAAGGTAGATCATCTTTTTTCCCTGGCAACAACAATGGATCTTTTATGAGATGTAAAAAAAACAACAACTCTGGTTCTCTATTAAAGGGATTGACATGTTTTTGAAAAATATTTTTTAATGACAGTTACTAATCCGCCAGTTACATGCATTTCAATGTCATGAGCACTTTTAGAATTTGATTTCCGGTCAGATAGAAAATATGTCGAATTAGTAAACCTCAACTGAATAAAGAAAGGAACAGTACCGCACAAAGCACTTCCCAAAACTCCCCAAATATTCAGGCTACTTTTTCTGATCTCAATCGATCATTTTCTTATAAAAGAAGATGATCAACAATAACTAAGCCAGGGTTTGCACCTCAGATTTACCCTCATGTAAAACAGGTGTGTTGCGTGTTGCTCCATTCTGAAAATATTTCCTCTTTTTGGATCCACAGCATAACCTGCAACAGAGAAAGTACTTAATAGGGCTGTATTGTATACAGAGAAAAACACAGTTAATGGCAGAAGACCTTTATACCTCCTTTATAACTCCCTTACTTTATTCTATTTTCATCCATTGTAGTTAGCTTTTATTTCTCTGTCTGAAGTTGCAAGTAATGAAATGCTTATATTGCAATATTTGGGTTACATATTTACATTTCTTACATAATTATATTTCCTTGTACAAAGACATAACCTACTGTGACTTACAATATGATATATAGGCTTCTTGGGACATTTGACAATAGCAATCAAGTCAAGAATTTGGAAAAATTGGACATACCCCTGACATTCTTGCATTTGCTCAACTGTTTCTGGAAGATCTTTGTCCAGGGTTTCCGGAAGGAAAACATTAACCACGGAGGAGGCAATTGTGAGAGTTCCCATTAAGATATAAGGTAGAACCTTATTATATGTACCTGGGAATAGGAACGGATCACAAACCGTTGTTGGTGCACAGTATGGTATCACTTCATTGTAGAGAAGATTAAGTGACTTATTAAATTATTGACATGTGTTTTTCAGAGACACTGCACTGAACTCTCAGGAAGTAACGCTGCATATTGAAGTACCTAGATAGATGACATACGGAGCTGTGATGCTGCCAATGCGAGCAGCAGAGGAACACATTCCCATGCCGACGTTCCTCAGAACAGTGGGGTAAATCTCAGCAGTGTAGATGTACACAATGCTAAAGGCCATGGTGAAGCCAAACTTTCCAGTCATCTCCAGTGCAAGAGCAACATAATGAAGGGCTGCGAAAGAAAGACAGAGGGTTAAGATGACATTAAGATGATTTTGGGTTTTGTCATTTTTGTCATTGGCAAACTCAAAGGAATTTTATAACAAAAAAAAGAAAAAAGAAAAGGAGAGAGAAACATAATAAAAGTAATATTACCTAAAGATGGTGAGGCGTTTTACATACAAACTAAAGACCAAGAATGAATCATTCTACAACCATTGACCATGTCCAGAACCTTTTCCTCTAATGAGTCCTCAACAGGCCACGTCAATGTGACCGGCTTCTCCACTACCTCACAGTTTCTATGACAAAGCGTTTGTGTCTCTGTGTGTGAGCGCATGCATCGCACAGGTTGAGATGAGGACACGGTGTGATACTACATAAATGCACTTGTTGCATTCATGTAGACAACATTCGCTGTACCATAGGGATTCTCTCCGTGCTGAGGACAGAGTGCTGTCATAATCATGGACACTCTGATGTTTTGTTTATCATATACACAGATGTGGTCATGTGATACAACTGAATTTGGTGCCATTCAGTACCATAAAGTGTAGAACAAAAAATCTCAGACCAAGACCTCACAGAGTGATGTTATATTTAACTAAAAGATAAACCATTAATTAATCTTTATTTAAAAAATAGTAATGCCCCACTCAGTCTAAAACTGAAAACCATTGACACGCGAACTGAACGATACTGTCTGGTTTCTTGCAGTGCTCAAATCTTTTGAATTGTCGAACTTGCTTTTAAACCCTCCCAATTCTCATTCATTTAACTGCGAATGAGATAAAGTTAAACAGACTCATAAGAGCCAAAGGATTTGCAGCTTTCATGTCAGGATGTGTTTTCACCAAATGATCATGCCAGGGTTGCAGCTCTAACGCTCGGTCATTAGCTCTAACGCTACCTTGTCACATAATCTAATCGTTCAAGTTTGTACCTTCAAAGTCATTTTGGAGGTTGGACACAACTGTCACATGCCTTAGAGCAATTGGTTGTCATCAGTAGTCATGTGAAAGCTTGAAAGATGTGGTTTGTGATGCTTGAGGAGACATAACAAACTCCTGTTGAACTATTCGTTGTACCTTTTGGGTGCAGCTCACCTGTTGGAAAACTGTTTAAATCAGTGTTCCCCAACCCTGGTCCTCAGGGTCCACTTTCCCGCATGTTTTCCCACTCCACCTGATTCAAATGAATAGATCAGCCTTTCAGTTATTTGCGCTCAGCAAAGGACTGATAAAGACATTGAAAAAGGTATGCTAGAGCGTGGAACCATGGAAAACATGCGAGAGAGTGGGCCCTGAGGAAAAAGACTGTATAACTGCTTGATAGAAATCTTGTATTTCGCGAGCCTCTGCTGCTGATCAGTCTTAAAGAGTGAACCCCTTTGGAATCTAAAACTGTTAATGAAAAGGTAGACAGGATGCAAAGGGAAACTAAATAATTTCTTTATGTCCTCTAATGGAAAACAGAATTGTATGAAGATGTATCCTTCCTTCATCACAACTATCTACATGAAACAGAGTCAATGGGGTCAAACTGATACTATCTTAAATTTATCCTATCTGTGGTCATCCAAACAAACGGTAACATCTTTTGAAAATACCCTACAAGCCTTCCCTGGCAATGTGCCGGTCATATCTAATTTCCATTCTTCTTTTCATGAGCTGATACTGTCTGCCCTCTGTAATCAGTTGGACTCATACAAAGTTACGAGCTGATTTCCGACCATTTCCAAGTACTTAACCGGACTTATCTCACTCATCTGCAGAGTCATCAAAACTTTAGTGTTTATCTTTACAAATGACAGGCTACGCATTGCCAAGGGCAGAAAATATTGCCTCTACATACAGTATATGATATAGTCATTTGACATTTTAGTTAAAATGTCAAAAGACGTAAGCATTCCCAGAGGTTATTTGCATTCCTACAGCTTCCACAGCACATCAAGAGGGATCAGTAGTAAATGAGGAGTTGTGTTTGTGCTGGGTATAGACAGAATAAAGTAGCCTTACTGTCAGGGATGAACTGGATTAACAAGAGAACTCCTCCTCCGAGGACAAGAAATGTTGACAGCAGTGCTCTCCTTGGGCATTTCCTTAGCAGCAAAGTTGAAACGATGTATGCGGGTACTTCACTAAGAGCTGACAAAAAGCAGTTCATGAAGGGGTCACCGCTCAGGTTGGAAGTGTTCAGGGACAAGCCAAAATACCCAATGTTTATTGCCATCCTGGAAAAACATAAAGCATTGTCTGAGTAGAGGTTTAAGAATTGAGACACGTAACTTTCACTTCAAGTCAAACACGCTCACCACAAAATGAGACACATCAGTGTTATGCATCGAATGTTCTTCGATTTCAAAATATCGAGCATGGTATACTTTTTGCCCGGACACATTTCTTGAATCTGAAACCAAAGTGAGGAGACAAGTTATGTAGTTTCTACATGTTCACATAGAATCTGAACACGTAAACAGATTCAAGAAATGGGATTATTTACTAAATGTATCCCTCTACCAAATGTCTAATTATGCTCAATTCCTATTTTTACTTGAAGCAAAAATAGCAATCAAAAGCACCAACCTTTCCTTAACATTGAGCCATCTATCAAGCATCTGTCGAGGTCAACAAGTCAAGTAGAAATTTAAGGCCTTTTTCTTATACTTTCATATAAGTCTTGGATTTATGTTGTAAAATTCTTTAATTAGTCATATTTAGAAACTACGTCTGTGTGTTTTCACAAGGTCGATGAACTTCAGGTTAAAATCATGCATGTATTGACTAACTGTGCCCAAAACACGAGTCTCACATCAGCTTCCTTAAAGATGACCGGTGGTGCCTCCACTTTGTTCTTCCTTGCCGCGTCTCTCACAATGACCTCGGCCTCTGCAACTCTGCCCTGAGTCATCAGCCATCGGGGTGACTCTGGGATGAACCTTTAGGGCCAAAGTTTTGATTTGTTTTGAAGCTTCCTATGGCAATAAGAACTTTACATGGAGGTTATTTTTTAAAAAAGTGACTGCGTTCCTTGGGATTACATACCACCACAATGGGATGTAAACCACTGAAGTTGCAGATAGTGCAGCAAGCAGCGTTCTCCAGTCTCTGATGGCATACGCAATCCATGGCAATGTCATATAACCAATGCAATAAAACAGGAAGGCCCCAAGAGTTGTGAAGAGAACACGCATGGTTTTACTCAGCACTTCTGTACCTGCCCAACAAAAGCATGACATGCAGTGATGGTCATGTCACTAAAACAAACAAATTTGCAACAACGACAGGTCATGGGAGTGCTTTGAAAGACTTACCTAGTACAAATGCTGAAATGTAGATGGATATCTGAGAGGCTCCAATGAAAAGGAACATGACACAGAACATCCGCCATGACTGAGAGAAGGACTGAAGCAAGACTGCCAGACACTGGGCCCCAAGGGACATGAAAATAACCTTCTTCCTCCCAAACCTTCAGGAGAAATAAGGATTTCATATAACAAACATGATAAAATATATACATTTCCTTTCATTAGGGAACCATGCATGCGATAGGCAAGATCCTATTAATAACATATCAGCCGCCCTGCTCCATATATATGAACCACATATGGGATCTCCACGAACTGAACTGTGCCAAGAAGTAAACAACTAAGTCTAGTAGTTGTCACTGGTGTTATTGGAGCAGGTCATGCCAGATTGTTCCTGCCAAAGCATGTTTCTGCATCAACAGAAGAGGGGGCTGTTGTCCTTGAAACAGCTAATCAGATGCAGCCAGTGGCAGAACAGTGCTCACAAGAGTGCTTCACGACAAACTGAATTGATAACTAAAGTGATGATAAAAAATGAATTACCTGTCAGAAAGCTGTCCTGATATCAGGGATCCAACTAGGTACCCCACAAAAATGGTTGAGGATGCAAATGGAACTTTCCACTGGTTGTCACAAACAAGATCCCACTGTAAGAAAGATGATGGATGGGATTTTTAATCAGAAATAAAGGGATCAAAGTACCACAGCTTTTGATAACATAAATGACCCACTAACCTCAGTGACTATAGTGGATTGGTAGACCTCTTTGCTGTATGTCCACCCATCCAAACATCCCTCTTGCTGCAGATTAGTGAGATTGACATCCCGTCCAGGATTATATCCCTCAGCAGAGAGGTTTCTCACCACGTCCAGTCTGTACCTGCTGCATTGGCTCTCAGCCGCCACACCATCTACTACTGTGAAGGGTATAATGGCATTTCTCCACTCCTCAGTCAGGTTGACATCTGGAATTAGACAGTGGTGTTTCGGAGCTGCTCCAGCAAAAATAATGTAAAGTCCGTTGAATCCAGTAGACACAAAAACTGTATTCAGGAGAAAGAATGTAGCCCAGAAATAAGGACCCATTTGTCCCAGAAATGCGGTGTCTTCATCGTAGTCTCCCATTCTAAATAGAAATGTACTCTGTGGTCTTTAGCGTAAAAGTTACAGCATTCCTCTCAGACTCCCCAGTTAAGTTCCGGAGGTGTAGGGTTGAGCTCCCTTCGGGGTAGGATGAAGAGGTCCCTTGGTGGGACGGAGTCACATTTGAAAAATGTACATTTTCAGCTAAACCCCCCTCCAAGGAGAGCAATTCTTGACCCCAAAGTGGAATACTCTAATAGTAAAGGCTTGTCGACTGACCCTCTCTTGAAAGTAGACAAGATAGAAAATGTATCTGAGATAACGGGAAGAAAGACCACTCACTCGGTGATTTGATTGAGTGGAACTAAAATAATCAAAGGCTGCAGACAGGCCAGTCTACAGTACTGTAGGCACCCAGCCCCCCTGCACTACGGTGGTATTTTCTCTAAACAACATTCCTCACTTTTAAACCCCAAAGAAGCCCTCGTGCCTGTACTCTAAATGTCGTAAGTAGTATTAGGACTCCTGTTGGAGTATTTTTGGCCATGCTGTGGACAGAGGCATGCCTTTATGGAAAGTTCGGCAGAGACGGTATCAACAGCGTATGTTTGTTTTACTATCTTTAAGATAAACTACTAAAACAACCAAGCCAGGAAAAATACATTTAGTTTTAAAGTAGAACTTTTGAAGGTTGTGTATTTCTACCGTTTCATGCCATCGTATGTGCAGATGTTTGCATTTTATGTTTCTTTAACTGGCTAAAAATGAAGTGAAGTGTGTTTGTTACAGTCAGTGCATATAGTTATTTCGGCTCACACAGACTGATACTCAGAGTGATGTGGAATGTAACACTCTGAGCCCTGTGCTGCAGCCCCTGCTGCTGGCTGACTTTCATTATAAACCTCATTGAGTAGGGCTTGACTCTACATGTGCTGTGCTTGCAGGATTAAATAGTTAATTGAGACCTTGTCGGTATAGCATTCCACTATCTAGCAGAAAAGAGTAAAAACACTATGTTCATGCTATAAAATGTTCACACACAGCCAATGAAAGATCTCACGACCAATTAATTGAAACCCTCTGCAGAGGCCCTGATGTTGCTTTACATACACTGTATAGTGTCACATTGATAGTCCATACATATAGTATATTATCCTAACAATGTCAGCTCTACTCAGAGTGGATAAAATAAACTTTTAATGACTTTCAAAAGCTTTTCAAGGACCCAGGTTGTCGGTAAGAAAGATTGTGAAACAGTTCCACTATTGCCCTGATCACTGAGCCCACTCCAAAACCTGGTAACAAGTAGTTCATGCAGGCTCAAAATTACAATCATACACAAAGAATACACAAGCAGAGGTGGCCTTGAAACTTGAATTTTGCCAAAAGGTGTTGTCATTACATCTACCCTAAGCAATGATGAATGTCAACTGCATTGTAAACAGAATATCTTTATCTTATTTTTTTTTCTAAATCAACTTGTTGACAGAATAGATTATAAAAATAGTGATACAGGTGTTGAACACTATCAAGCTCCTCACATTTCCTTGGTTTAGGCAATTTGGGGCCTCCAAAATGACAGTCTTTTGAAGGACTCGTGCCTTGTAAGCATGGGGAGGTACTTAGTTAAGGTGTGTAACCCTCCTGTAGCTTACAGGGAGGGCATCATTGCTGGTTGTATTTAAGGTTAGGAAAAAAACCCTCATATGGACACATTAGTTGCTACATCAGTGGTGACTCAACTGTTGATAGGCCTAATCAGTTATCACTGAGCACAGTGAGTAATGCAACAGCTTATTTGAATGATATCCTGTGATATTCAGCCTTTCACACAATGCTGATTTGGGTCTTTGGTGGTTGACAGGATTAATCATCGAGTGTTCCGTCCTCCAAAGAAATCTAATCAAAATTTCTTCAGATCTGTTATCTGCTTCACGAGTTTAAGCTGAAGCTGAAGGTGTATCACACCGGGATAAAATATTTACTATATATGAATGTAGTGTTTCAAAAGTACTCCTTTTCTTTTAAGGAAATTCCATACTGATTTATGACATGAACTTCCATCAATACATAGGGACAGGGTGGCACAGACATTTGGAGGACATGCAAATGTATAAATTTATGTATATATCATCACTTTATAGTTATCATAGAGCACATTAGATCAGATCATTTTCTCCCTAAAATCAATATCAAATCTTTTACAAAGCAACTGTACATTTGCCATTCATTTCTAAGCCGGTCTTATCAGTAATTGACATCAGTGAAGTTGTGAAAAGCGCCAGCATCTGCTGACCTGTTTTCGTTTGTTAAAAGACATGGCATACAGTATTCTGGTAAACATTAACGTGAGCTTCAACACCAGATTTTTCTGGTCTAATAAAGAGGATCATAGGGCACACAGTCAGAGGCTTTAGCGACTGAGACTGCGTACACGTGACATGCAGACAGTCCACATGGATGCAATCAGCACGTATATAAAGGGTGTCTGTTTGCTGTGGGTTATGTTAGGGTAGCTTTTATATGGCTGGTTTGTGTTGTACATAAGGTAAAACACTAATACAAGTTTAGAATTTATTCAAGGTTCTAGATCAGCTAAAAAAAAGAAACTACAAAGCTTTGCTATTTAAAAAGCTGTTGAACCAATTTAGTCAGAATTGCAACTCGGGCTGGTTTCATGAAGTGTTTTTCAGTGTGGATTTTTAAAGTATTTTTTACATGAATATTCAAAGTGTTTTTTTTAAAATAGAGTCTTTCTGTTTGGTCATATATGCCCCGTTTTGTAAAAATGTTTGAATTCTGACTCTTGTTCATGCTGAATGTCAGTTGAATCTATTGATATCTTTCCAGGATAAAACAATATAATCCTTTATTAGAAATGATGAATGCACACGATTTCTTATAAGTGGTATCCTAGCTTCTAGTTTTATGGGTCTGTTGGACAGTTTTAATTTTAACTCCCATAAAAGCTCACAAGTTAACAAAGCAGATCTACTTTCTTTAATGTTTGAAGAGTGAAGGTTTAGATAATAACTCGCTGTCGTTGTGTTTTCCTTATCAGACAGTCTCTGGATGGTGGCTGGCAGGTATTCCTTGGTTTCTTGGCAGCTGGTCAGATAAAAACAAAACAAAAAAACCCTGAACTTGATGGAAAGTTCATCAAGTTCAATAAATATTTCTGAACTGTAATAATCTCCATAATGGATTGTTATAGTTGGGATTATATTTCCGTGTTAACAACACCGCCACACAATTGGCACACTTTTTTACAAGATGATTAGGTGAGGACTGACAACAGTATATTTACTAGACAGCGTGGTCATCCTTCTTCTTATTTAATATTTATCAGTGACATACTTTTGTTTGTTTCCCAATACTTATTAAGTTTTCGTTATTGTCATAAAAGAGCTGTTGTAAAATCTTTAAGATAACACCACCTCTTTCAAAATTACAAGGTACTGGACATGTTAAAACAATGTTTAACTGGGAAGGTAACCAAAGGTGTAACCTTTGTATTCTTACCATGGATCAAAGATATTTAGAGCATTAGCCGCATCAATGAAACCATGAAGCAGGATATGCCTCTTACTTGGAAATACTTAGAGATTCAGGGCAAGAAATTGGGAGAAAGCCAGATCATCTTTAGTCTTTTTTTGTCTTTTCAAACATAGTTTTGTAAGATTAAAAAATCACTGGTATCAAAAATACAGAGGACTCTTCTTCTATGTTATCAGAATCAGAATCAGAATCAGAATCAGAATCAGAATCAGGTTTATTGCCAAGTAGGTTTTCAGACTTACAAGGAATTTGCCTTGGTGTTTAGTGCACAACACAACACTTCTATGAGAAGCAAGAATAAAAAAGTAAAAATAAAGATATAGGGCAGAATGATAAAACTGAAAAATACAATCTTTAAAAGTATAAATCTGATGGCTTTGTATTCAGACAGTGTCTGATTTAAAATTCCCTTTAAGATTTTGTATTAATGGAAATGCAAATGTAGCATGTTGCAAATGGAAATAAATGCTGCATGTTAACAAACAGTTAAGAGTCATGAGTAAAAAGGGATTATTTAGGATATAACTGGTTTTAAGGCCACATTAATAACTAAGTATATAAGATTAAATACACTTGGAGTGATTGTGAAAAAACATCTTACTATTAACTGGTTTATACTTTATGGAACATTTCTATCTCTTCTTTTTTGAAAGACTACGTTTTGTTAATATATTTCCTCTCAAACCAGGTGATACATAAAACAAACCAGCAACACATAGCCTATTATGTGTTTTATTATGGGTTTATTTATTATGAAATAAAGAGCTAGTCTAACTTATGGAAACGAGGATTTCCCTCAGTTTTTTAAGAATATTTTTAATTAAATGTTTTCACTCTTAAAAAGAATTTGATCAATCATGAAAAGGTAACATTCCCCGACTTTTAGCCTTAATCTAAGGACCCCTCTCCTCATTGCGCACAATATGCCATCTTTAAAGATAGAATCAGGTGCATTGTCTTTATGGATCTCCACTCAGAAAACACTCAAAAATCCCAGAGAACATGTCACTGGAACATGTCGACAGGTGTGTGTCAGTCACTGGAAGAAAAGACTCTGGGTTATAAGGTTTTGTCTGCATCAGACCGAAAGGACGGGAATGTTTGACGACGAGGTTAATTGAGAAAAAAACCCACGAGCAACGGTGGGTGGTGGGTGGGAATGGTGGGACTGAAACAAAACCGATGCTTCGCAGATCCCAGATCTGGACTCGCGCACCCGGGTGCTCCTTAAGCCTCGTCGAAACATGCGCGCGGAGCCTTCGGCCCCCGGCGAAGCGCGCGACTACGACGCGTCCGCCGCCTTCCTGGGGGAGTGGGGCCGCTTCCAGCGGCGGGTGTTCTTCACGCTCTGCCTCAGCGTCATCCCCAACGGGTTCGCCGGCCTCTCGATCGTTTTCGTGGCCGACACGCCGCCCCACTGGTGCGCCCTGCCCGCGCGCCTCAACCTGACCGACGCGTGGCGGAACAGCAGCATCCCGTGGGAGAGGGACGAGAGCCGCGGGGGCGCGGAGACGCGCAGCAAGTGCTCCAGGCTCAAGCTGGACGAGGTCGTGAGCTTCTCGGAGAGAGGCCTGCTGCCTGGCATTGACGTTAATCTGTCTAATGTACCGAGAGAAGGCTGCCTGGACGGATGGGAGTACGACCCGAGTCTCTACTCATCCACCATCATAACTGAGGTGTGCGTGTGTGTATGTGTGTGTGTATGTGTGTGTGTTCAAGTCTTTACATGCATTTAGAGGAGGATGCTGATACAAACTGGGAAAACTGGGTTTAAAACAGATTTTACAACAAATAAGATAAGACGGTAATATTTATTAGATTCATATTTATTTGTGTTCATGTAGGGCAGTTGTGGTTGGATGAAGGGATAAATAAAAATGCTCAAAAGTAACAAATACAATGAATAAATACAGATGAAACAAACAAACATGTCCAACATGTTTTGGACTTCTTCTTTGGTGCTTATCCCGCAGTAGATATGGTTGACTTTCACATTTGGGTTTTTACTTTTGTTGGGAAATTTAGAACAAAAAGAAAGATGAAAAACACAGCTTTGGGTCTGAACGTGTTGTCTGCTCTGTAGCCGCCTGACTCGATTTGTGCGGCCTATTCATGCCTTTGTGTTTTGCAGTGGGACCTGGTGTGTGATGAAAGCTGGAAGAACCCCCTGACGTCCTCTCTCTTCTTCTGTGGTGTTCTCACTGGCTCATTCATTTCAGGACAGCTGTCGGACAGGTTACTGAGAAATGCCAGTGGTTTAATAAGAACAAAACAAAACAGACCATAATGATGTGGAAACAGAAGCCTTTGTGCAGAGTGAAACTAAATTAATCATTTTCAACTGTTCATTGTGACAGGACATGCATCCCATTGATCAGTCACCACGTCTGTCTGCTATTTAAACCGTGTATTCAGTATATTCTCACATTATTGTGTCATATAGTGTGTAGGTCAGTACATGAAGCAAAAAGAAAGATAGATAGATAGATAGATAGATAGATAGATAGATAGATAGATAGATAGATAGATAGATAGATAGATAGATAGATAGATAGATAGATAGATA